CTCTGGGCGGGAGGCAGCCGGGCGGAGGCAGCCGGGCGAGGGGAGCCCCAGGAAGAGGGGCCAGGGGCTGAGGATTGGCGGACGGCGGGGGCGGAGCGAGGCGAAGCGAACGCCAGAGCCGTGCGCGCGCCCTCGGGAAGCCCGCTCGTGCCCGGCAGGGCATGGCGTGGAGGCCGTGGCCTGAAAAAGTGAGATGTAGGATTGGCGGACGGCGGGTGGGGGGGGGGCGGTTAGTGGCCTCCAAGATGGAGTCGGAGTAGGAGGGGGGGAGAAGGAGGACGAGGAGGGGGAGGGGGATGAGGAGGGAGAGAAGGAGGGACGACGCCGACGAGGAGAAGAGGGGGGGGGTGTAAAGGGGAAGAGAGGAGAGAGGAGAAAGAGAAAGAGGAGGAGGAGGTGGAGGAGGAGGAGGAGGAGGAGAAAGAGAAAGAGGAGGAGGAGGAGGAGGAGGAGGAGGAGGAGGAGGAGGAGGAGAAAGAGAAAGAGGAGGAGGAGGAGGAGGAGGAGGAGGAGGAGGAGGAGGAGGAGGAGGGGGAGGGGGAAGAGGAGGAGGAGGAGGAGGAGGAGGACGACGACGACGACGAGAGAGGGTGGGCGGTTAGAGGCCTCCAGGATCGCGCAGACGTCGCCGATGCACCCCTGAGGCATCGCTGACCCATCGCTGATGCACTGGCGACGTCGTCGGAGATGCATTGGCGACGTCGGCTTGGAAATATTGGGCTCCAGATCGAGCCGCATCGCCGATGCATGTGCGCTGAAGGGGAGGTGCGAGGCCGATTCGCACGGCGAGTTCGAGCCGTTCGCGGCCTTCCCTGCAGCTTTTCACCCCAGATGCGTTTCTGACGGTCCATGGGCCCCCAAATGGCCACCGGAGGCCGAATGACAAAAAAACGAAGACTCCCCTCGAACACAGCACCTCAAACTTCGCCCCCCTCTTCCTGCTCGGCGGAACCGATGCTGGCCACATCAGACCCACAGCCGGCTCCAAGCCCTCCGAAGCCTAGGACCGCTCTCAACCTTGGGGCGACGAGATCCATACTTTTCAACCGCCGCTGGCCAGCGGCAGCGGATGTGATTAGATCTCGTCGCCCTGATCGGCGGCGCGTTCGGGGGGGAACGACAACGAGAAGGCCTTCTCGGAAGGCGCCGGGGCTTCGCAGAAGCCTTCGCGGCCACTGTTAAGTTGCTTTCTGTGGCTTCGAGGAGATCTCCGAACACTTCTCCGAAGGCTGGAGGCCCTCCGAGCCTTCTGAGGAGGCTCGACACCTCCCCCTGTGCTCGCCGCCGACCTTTCGGGGGCGTCCGAGAGGGGGGCGTTCAAGAGGGGGGAGGGGGGCGCGGCGGAACGTGCGCGGCCTAAGAGGGGGGGGCGGGGACGCGTTGAAATCAAAAGAGGCGCCATGAAATCTGGGGAGATGTCATGGCCCCCGCCATGATATCCAAACGCCCCTAGTCTTCACCCCCCCCTTGGCCGCCCCTGTCGGAGATCTTCTGACCCGGGGCAATCCAGACCCGGGTCAGTCAGGCCTTGCAGAATCCTGCAGGATCCTGCGCCCAAACCCAGGTCAATGCGAAAGAACCTCAAGCCCGGGTCAGTGCGCCCCTGGCCCTGCAGGATTCTGCAAGACCAGGCACTCTGGCTGACCCCCCTTTGCATTGACCTCCGTCTCTTGAGCCCTGGCCCCCGGACCTAAACCCTCGCGCCGGTTGCCCCTCCCATCGTAAAGGGAAGATGATGGGCCTGTGTTCCACCACCACCACCATGAGTTGGAGGGGGGAAGGAGGTGGAGGAGGAGGAGGAGGAGGACGACGACGAGGAGGAGGAGGAGGAGAAAAGGAAGGAGGAGGAGGAGGACCCCCTCTCCCTCCAACTTATGGCGGTGGTGGTGGAAAGCAGGCCCATCGGAAGAGCGCAGAGCGCGCCACGGGCGCCGGACCCGCCCCAGGGCGGAGGTGGCTCCGGTGGCGCGGGGCGCGGCAGCGAGGTCATGGCCCCACCCTCTCGTCCTCCTCCTCCTCCTCCTCCTCCTCCTGCCTCCTCCTCCTCCTCCTCCCTCCTCCTCCTTCCTCCCCTCCTACCTCCTCTCCTCTCCTCTCTCCTCCTCCTCCCCTCCTCCTCCTCCTCCTCCCCTCCTCCTCCTCCTCCTCGCCTCCTCCTCCTCCTCCTCCTGCTCCTCCTCCTCCTCCTCCTCCTCCCTCCCTCCTCCCCTCCTCCTCCTCCTCCTCCTGCCTCCTCCTCCTCCTCCTCCTCCTCCTCCGCCTCCTCCTCCAGCCCCCCCTCCCCCTCCTCCTCCTCCTCCTCCTCCTCCTCCTCCTCCTCCTCCTCCTCCTCCTCCTCCTCCTCCTAGGTGGCTCCGCAGCGGGCCGCGACGCCGCAGCATTTTGCCCCGCGGCCGCCGCGGCCCGTGCCATTGCAGAGCCCCCAGCGCCGACGGCGCGCAGCCCGAGCAGACCCACGAGGTCACGCTCCCCTGCCTGGCACAGGCGCCTTCGCAGGCGCAGGAGCCAGGCACGTCAGGATTTCCAGCTGGTGAACGCCCGCCTCCTCCTGAACCTCCACCACGGCAGCATGGCACCGACACAGTGGGCGACATGCAAGCAATGCAAGATGTGGTGGTGGATATCGCAGATGGAGTCGCGCGACTACTGGTGCTCCTGCGGCTGCCGAGTTGCTAGGCCCAAAGGAGATATGACGATGACGAAGGGCGACGGCAACGATGGCAAGGGCAAGGGCAAGGGCAAGGACAAGGACAAAGACAAGCAGTACCATACTGAAGGTGCCACGGGCTCCAACAAAAAGGGCTTCGCGCAGATAGCCACGGCCTTGCAGACGATGACGAGCTCCCTGGCCACCCTCCAGTGCGACAACAAAGACGGCATCGCCAAGCAGCTTACGAGTGTGGCCACAGCACTCCAAGCTGCGGCGAGTTCCCCAGCACAGGTTCCCAAGTCCCGAGCACTACGATTGGCAGAAGCAGCTAGGAAACTCGAGGATGCGAACAACAAGTACAAATGGGCGCTCGATGCAAAACAGTCGGCCGACGAAAAGGCGAAGAAGGCAACAGAGTGGCTCACAGCCAGTGCCGACGACGTCCTGAACGCGGAGAAGGAAATAGAGATGATCCAGCAGGAGGGCAAGGAGAAGCCGAAGAGCATCTTCGACCAGCTGCTGAACGCAGACACGGAGATGATCCAGCCATCGGAGATCGAGATCGCCGAGGTCGAGGCGCACTTCCAGTACGACGAGGACATGGATGAAGAAGGAAAGAGGCAAGTGGAATTAGCGAAGAAGCAAGTCCTGGAGCATCTACGACAGACGGCATCAACCTTCAGGGGCCAGCTGAAAGACCACTTGCAACAGGCGAAAGACAAAGCAGAGCAGGAGCGCGCCACGATCACCCAGGCCTACAAGAAGCGGAAGGCGGGCTCAGGTGAAACATCGAAGGAGACGCAGGCAGCCCCAGCAGCGGCCCCAGCTCCAGCAGCAGCACCTACATCTGCAGGCGAGCCCGACGTCATCCTCGTCGACGGAGCAGACGCCTTCCTGGAGCAGCGCAGGAAGGCGGAGGAGGCAGCTGGCGGCAGCGGAGGGGCAAGCGCTGGCTCAGGCCAGCACTAGGGACCACCGCGGAGGGGCAGGCGACCCGTTGGCGACGCCGAGCCCCTGGATCGCACGATCTTTTTCGCCAACATATCAACGTGGGGACCTACGGCCAAGAGTTGGATCCAACGCGAAGGGCTTCAGCAATCCTATGATGCTTACGCGCTACAGGAAACACACTTGGCACAGGCACAACTCAATGACGTGGAATACGAGCTGCAGAAATCTGGGTTCTCAGCAGTTTTCACGGAAGCCAGGCAGAACGAGGAGAGCATGAAGGGGTCCCACGGTGGCACAGCTGTCATCACCAAGGGCCACCTGAAGGCTACCTCTTTACGCAACAAGGCACGGGCAGACACGACCTCGAGTGTGACTACTCACCAAGGGCCGTGCGACATGGATATGATCGACTGGACGCCAGTCACACTCCACTTGAAGGGCACATCGCTGCTCATCATCTCCCTCTACTTGGACCCGAACGCCTCCCTCGTCGACGGGGTAAACGCCAAGAAGTTGACCTCGCTCGCGGCATTCCTGCATACTACCTCCGTGCCGTGGATCATCTGCGGCGACTATAATTGCGAGTTCGACGCACTCGAGAAGACAGGGTGGCCGACGGCACTGGGCGCGACGGGTGTGGTCCAATTGCCAGAGGGCCAGAACATGTCCTTCTCAGGTGACGCGATCCCCTCGAACACAGGCTTCGCCCTGGTCAACCCTGGTGGCCAGAGACTTGTTCGAGGTATACACGCTGTTCACGATGTACCTGGGAAACCACATGTGGGGCTGGTTATTACAATACAGGCAGCGGCGCAGGTGAACGAATGCAGAAGTTTATGTATGCCGAAAGCATCTCCCCACCCCAAGTCGCCGAAGAAGACCAACCCCAACAGCAAAGCAGCAAAGAAGAAGAAGAAGAAAGCAGCGCTACCAGTCCTGGACGAATCTGACAACCTCTCCGATGACGAGACCGCCGAGACCGACACGGCGAGATGGGAAGCCCTTGGACCAGACGGTTGTAAGAGAAACCAGACTGAGGCGATCGCTGACGGCGAGACCAGCGGACCCGTCCCAAGACGAGTCGGCACACAAATGGACAGCGAGGACATAGACCCCTTCGCCGACCTGGATGCGAACCTTCCCAACACGGACAGCAACATTCCCATGCCCGAAGATGGCGAAGGGGCCTGGGACACACCAGATTTAATGATACATGCCAAAAGGCCGGAGAAAAAAAAAAAAAAAAAAAAAAAAAAAAAAAAAAAAAAAAAAAAAAAAAAAACAAAAAGAAAAATAAAAAAAAAAAAGAAAAATAGAAAAAAAAAAGAAAAGAGAAAAAAAAAAAAAAAAAAAAAAAAAAAAAAAAAAAAAAACAAAAAAAAAAAAAAAAAAAAAAAAG